TCCCCCTTCCCTTTTTTTTCTCTTTTGTTTTTCTTTTGTCTTCAGCCTATTCTGCAAACTTGGAGTTCTTGTCAGGCATAGGATTTCACTATTTGGTAAGGAGACCCTTGAAAAAAAATACCAGCATGGCCGTCACTTGGTTTTCTTTGCCATTTTTGCACTGTGTTGTGTGCTGCGACGTTGCATGAATGCATGTTTGCACGGCTGCCTGCATGGTTACCACAGGCCAAGATGAGGTCCTCGAGGTCGTTTATACCTGGCGTTGTCTATGGGCAAATTGAGGACTGTGTCTTCTTTATCCTAGTCCAAAGTATAACTGAAAATGAACGATTGTCTTCATCAACAGCCAATGAATGAAAATGCCAAGTTCTTCTCTATTTTATTTCAGGGGTAAAATAAAACCAGGCCCTTGGATTTGTGTTTGGTTTTCTGTGCTAGATTGAATCATGAGCTGTCATAAATCAGAATTTTAAACTGCACTTTTGTTTTTTTTAATGCTCTTGACTACAGATTTGCATGTCTACCGCATCCCAAACACTGGAGCTTCCTAGTCAAGACACTGAAGCCAGGGAGCTTCGGAGCTTCACTTGGCACAAGTGGCTTTTCTAGCACCGCTCACCCCAGAGTCAGTGTCTGTTTGTCTCTGAGAATTCACATAGCTGAAGGCCATGTTCCTGAGCACCTGCTTCCGGACAGCCACGCAGGGTGGGCACTCACTTTCCGCAGATTTTCCCTGCTGTGGGGCTTTAGGGATCTGTAGCGCTGGTAGCATTTACGGTTTACACGTTTCTTGCATCTGATTCGATAAACCGCCAAAGCAAAGTTGAGCCCTTTGCTCTCTAGGTTTTGAGACAGTGTCGGGGTAACGTCAGTAATAAAAAATTTAGTGTATCGGTGTAGATGTTACAGTACAATTCCATTTATAGGAAAAACTAAAGATTAAAAAAATTAAGTCAAGGGCGACGCCTGTGGCTCAAAGGAGTAGGGCACTGGCCCCATATGCCGGAGGTGGCAGGTTCAGATCCAGCCTTGGCCAAAAATTCCAAAAAAAAAAAGAAAATTAAATCATTTCTACAAAGCCATGGTAAATAGACTGAGACCGAGACATGAGTGTATATATAAGAGGGTGCCAACAAAGGTATACACATTTTAAGAAATGTTGTGTGTGTATTACTTCGAGGTTGAATTGAAGGCACCATGACTGGTCAAGTGTGCCTCAGCTTGCTGTGTATGTCCATTTTACCTGCATTTCTTACACTTTTAGGGAATGATCGATTTTACTTCCAAGAAGATCTCTTAAAATGTGCATATATACAAGGGTACAAGTGAATCTTTCTAAGAGTAGAATATGAACGTCTTAGCACAATAACTAAGAAAATGACATGAAGGCTATGTTAACCAGTTGGATGAAAATCTTTCAAATTCTATGTGAACACACCACACGGTACCCCAGAATTGCATTAATGTATATAGTTACCATTTAATAAAAAAAAGTGTATATATTTTGGCACTCCTGGTGTGTCTGTGTGTGTGTGTGTATATATATATATATGTACTGCTTGTGTGTATATATATATACGAATACACCCGCAAAAACACACAATGCAACTTTTCAGTTCTTTCAATTTTTTGAAAAGTAAGAGTTTCTGTCTATAACTAGTTAATGTTGTGTTTGGTTTCTAGTCTTATCATATACAATATTTGGTACTCTTAAATTTAGTAACGGAAAGGTATATTTCATATAAATTGCCTGAGTTTTTGCATTAACGTTTCAGTTATTCCAAATCAATGGGGCAGGTATCTTCAGAATAATCTCCAATTGACTGATTTTTTGTTTAATTTCTTTTTAATGAGAAAAATTTTTCAAGAGTATCTCTGAAAATATGTAGCACTTGAGGGAACTTATTTCTCAGTGGCAGTTTTATTCTTCATGAACATAATAGTTCTTTTTTTTAAAAAAATTATTTATTTGTTTATTTATTTTGCAGTTTTTGGCCAGGGCTGGGTTTGAACCCACCACCTCCAGCATATAGGGCCGACGCCCTACCCTTTTGAGCCACAGGCACCGCCCCCTATTTCTAACTTCCTATTTATTGTATATTCTTGTTTTCCTATATCATTTCCCTTTAAAAACTTTTTTTGAGATGTTTTATAGATAGAGTAAAACAATCTTAAAACAACTTGATGAAATTTTACATACATATTTAATCATTGCTCTGGTCAAGATAGAGGATTTCCCACAACCTAGAAAGCTTCCCTGGTGTCACTTTCCAAATTATAACCATCTCGAAAGTAACCATATGTCAACTTCCAGTCCGTGGATTGATTTTGCCTGTCCTAAATTTCCACTTTGAATATATAATTTTAATTTTGGTGATTAAGGATAAATGTGTGATGTAGTTTGTCCTGCCTATTACAGAGGAAGAACTAGATTGTTAACTGCAATGTTAACATTAATTCTGTCTCTGTGTGATCCTGTTATTTCATTTAAGCACTGTGTTTTAAATCTGTTAGCCTTTAATGAGAATTAGAGACCCACTATGTGTTTGTTGCTTTCAAAAGCATATTTTTCACATTCTTTATATTATTGTAGTGCCAATTGTTACTGCTTCAGTTTCTTTGGCCCTTGCCTGTGAAGTATAAACTTTAAGAGCCTTTATTCACTCACATGATTGGAAACTTTACATTTTAAGCATTTAAACTTTATATAGTACCGTGATAGCCTGGCTTTGTATGCTGATATGAAGTCCTGGAAAAAATAGTGGGCTTTGAATCAGAAAACCTAGATCTAAGACCTGTTTTTATAACTTCATCAGCTGAATAATTTGGACAATGGATTTAAATTTTCTGAACCTGTTATCATTTTCATTTTTTAAAGTAGGGCAAAATAAATACTAATCATTGAGGTCTACTGTATATCATAACTAATGTGAATAATGAATGTTTCAGTTTCCATGTAAACCGTAACCATATAGCTTTCACATGTAAGGTTATTTCAAGTCTCATTAGATGTATTAAGTTTATAAGCTTTTATTTAGATAAATTATGCACAGACTAAATTATGACACCTTTATAATTCACTTCTTTCTAGATAAATCAGAAACATTTTCACCCAAGTATTTACTTTCTGATTTATTTTTTATGCCATTATGGACTTTCCCAGAGATACCCAACAGCATATATGCAGTGATTGTTTATATAGTCATATTAATTTCTTATTTTTTATTTTCACTCTTCCTGCATTCAGGCAGGAAATCAACTGATTATCAAAATGTATTTCATTAATGTCTTGGTTTTAAAAAATTTTTATGACCTAATCTAAGAATAAATCAAGACAATTGATAATTGAAGTTTACAAGGAAATACTTGAAATTTGTTATGACGACCAAAGGTAAAGCTGTAGAGAGACATACATTAGCCTTAAAAATATGAGGAATTAGGGATCAGAGGGGAAAATTAATACAAAGGGACAAAATATTTGTCCTGGTGGTGATAATTGTGCTGAACAGGGCTCAATGGTCATGGAATCTTCATTTCACATTAACTGCCAAATTGTAGTGCTATCTCCAAACGTTACCTGTAGTTGAAAGATTTTTCTGACATATAAAGTCAGGATTCCCAAAACTTGGACTTCTAGATTTGTATGTACCTTTTGTTACCTTAGGATTATTTCTTCTAGTTTGAAGAACACTATGTAAGAATTGAGATCTATACTGTTTTTAGGCCCCATTTATTCTTTTCAAGGCATTTAAACTACTTCATTTTATACATCTTTTTTAAAGGTAAAGTTTTTAAAAGGGAAATCAAGCTATATTCTCCACAGAATTCTGGTGCACCAATTGGAATGCTTTCTGGGAAAAAAGAGAAGGAAAACAATATTTTGTTTAAATACAGGCTTCACTTCTGAGATTTTGAAATGCTAGTGATTTTATGTTGGTGCACCCATGTATTCTGGAAATTCAGTTTAGGACATAAACAGGACGTTAGCAGGCTGCCAAGCATTAAGAATCCCATTTGCCATATTTAAGGACCCCATGGTGACTAAAGAAATACTGCCTTTTTATTTTTATTTATAAATATTAGTTGTTTATTTTTTGAGACTTTGGGGAAAAAAAATAAAAAGAAGTTAACCTCAGAGTTAACCTTCAGTTCATACTGAACCTCAGAGTCAAAGCATTCTATGATAGACATACTCTTACTTGACAATGTGAATGTTACTTTCTTTGCATTATTATTATTGTTGCTTAATATTTTGATGCAGCAATCATCTGATTTCTTTTCTGAATGTATTTATCTTCATTCATTCTTTATGAGGTTTTTGTTTCTAGTTCCTATCTTAAACATTGTTATTGTTATTAAATTTTAAGCCTTTTTAATTTTGTGAAGGCAAAAGGTGGAAACCTAATGAATACATGCATATGTAAAAAATAAATAAAAGCACAGGATCTCCCCTAAAAAAAAAAAAAAAGAAAAGAAAAGAAAAAGAAATATTGCTTTTTATTTCCACTATTTTTCCTCGATTGCTATTTTCCTACTGCTACCTAGAAATTCCAATAGCCAATTTCAAGATGGAGGATACATTAAGACCCCCTACTACCAGCTATTTGGATCTTTCAGTCATTTTTAGAGGAAATAGAATCTGATAGCCAAGTAATAGTGATGGTGGCACACGTGTGGGCATGTCAGGGCTCCTGAAGGCTTTCTTTTCTTCTTTTTTTTTTTTT